CCGAGGTACTTCACCGTCAAAGAGATGGCGAAGTCGGACCAGCTCGGAACGCATGCCCTGAGTGCGGCACGAACGACATCGCGGGCCGCCAGCAGGTCCGCAGCAGCCAGCCACAGCGGCACCAGGACACATTTGCGGGGCTGTAGACGCAGGCACGCGAGGCGAGCCATAGCGCAGAAGTGAGGCTCGATGACGCTGAGGAGGCAAATGTCCCATAGAACTATCCCCATGTCATCAGCACAGACGCCGAACTCGGCGTCCCGGCCAGGACCGATAAGTGGCTCGTCTCGCGGTGGACGGCTGGCCAGGGAGCGCGAGGGAAGCGCCAGCGCACCCGCGATGGCCTCCACGAACGGTGCGGTGGCCAGTGCCCATAGGGTGCCCGAGAGGGGGCAGCCCTGGGCAACGCCAGTGAGCACCAGGCACATGTAGTAGCACCGCGAGCCGATGCGGGTCCAGCAATGTTGCCCCTCGTAGAGCGCCGCCCTGATCAGGTGGATGTAAGAGTCCGGAATCCCGAACTGGCAGAGCGCCGCGAAGAGCCACCCCCAGGCTAGGCTCGGAAATGCCGCAGCCACGTCGAAGGAGACGAGGCACGGTCGGCGTCGGGCGAGCTCCTCGGGGGAGTCGAGCGTTGCTATCCTTGCCTGGGCGTCGAGGCGCCAGACGTTGTCCAGGAAGTTCCGCCCGCGGACGAAGCCGCGCTGCGTGTCGACGTGCCGCTCCGCGACCACTGATAGGTACCAGTTGGCCGATGCTGCCATCAGCTTCGCGTCCGAGTTCTTGAGGGCCAGTGGACGGGTCTTGGCGGGCTCCCGCGCCACTTGCACAGCCGAGGGGGCGTCGTCGGCTTCTGGAGCGAATTGGAGCCACGATGCATTGAGGCCCTCCGGAGGCGTCTCTCCGCCCATGAGGGCAAGCAAAGCCGCGTGAAGTCGCAGGGCAGCGCCTGGGGCCCTGGCCCACGCCGCATAGGGGATGCCGTCGGGGCCAGGGGCTGTGGGGCGGGCGCGGCGGGCTGCCCTTTCCACGTCCTCGACCTGCGGCAGCGGCAGCTGGGTGTCGGGGAGCCTCGGGAAGTGGCACTGCAGGTAGTTGTGGATCTCGTCGAGGGCGACCTCCTTGGCCGCGAAGATCGGCCCCCAGTGGGCACGCAGGGCAGCAGCCATCCCAGCGGGGTCGCTGGTCAGCCCATGGGCCGCGGGCTCGTCGGCAGTGCCGCCCGCGCGAGGGGGCGCGGCAGGGCGCCCCCCGGGCTGGAGAATTCCGGCCAGGATCTGCACGCTTTGGAAGGGCCGCCAGAGCTGGGCTTTCTGGGCCATTCGCACGGCCCTGCCTTTCCAGAAGGCGCCGCACGCCTGCGCGCCGCGCTGCTGAGCGGCGGAGGCATTCGCCAGGGCACTCCGGCGGTCCCGGGCGAGCACTGAGGAGGCAGCTGCGCGGACCGCTGCTGCGAAACCCGCAGGATCTGAGAGGGCGACGCCGGCGACGCTGACCGAAAAGAAGGTCCTTAGCACTGGCGCCGAGTTTACCAGCACGCTGAGCGCGCGATTGTCCTCGCGCCAATGAGCTCGGGCAGCTGCGCGGAGGACAAGTAAGCGCGCGTCGGGGTAGGACGCGCGGCTGCTCAAGTCCGGCCCCCGGGTCAGGACGTCCCGCGTGATGCGAGCGGCAAGAGAAATGCTGGCCTCAGTGACTGTCCAAGCCGCGAAAGGGTCGTCACTGGGCATCCGGGAGGCGGCCATCACCTTCTCGAACACGGAGGCGAAGAAAGGCTCTTCGCAGATCCACTCAGGAATAGGCCGATCCTGGCGCCCTGGGCCCGCAGCTCCGCCCACTTCCAGAACGAGTACGCCGTGGTCGCTGAGCCTTCTGTCCGAAAGCGACGCGGGGTCCGAGGCGAGGTAGGCGCGCAAGTGGATGCCGTACAAAGCTTCCGGGGGCAGCGAAATGTACAACCTGTCGAGGGTCGAAGCTCTTGGTCGATGCACGTCGAAATGCGTTGGGGAGTCGGTCTTGATTTGAAGAAAGCAGCCTAGCAAATGCTGCCAGTACCGCGGCGCGGCTTGGTCACGACGAGCCTCATGGCGCGGGGTTCGCCGCGGATCTGCATAGGCTAAGTGGGCGCCGTCGTCGAAGTTCAGGTCGCCGCCAACCACCACCATCCTCAGCTGCGGCGCAGCGGAGGCCCAGCGTCGGTATGCTGTCACTTCCTGGGTTAGGCGGCGCCGGTCTGAGGGGGTCAAGCCGTAATTGTGGACGTTCAGCAGCGCGACGGCCGTGGAATCGCCGGGAGGGCATCCACGAAGCGGCAGCATCCCTGACGCGCTGGCCCGGTGACCTTCAAATGCCCCTGGGCCGCCCGCGGAGGTCACCGATCCATTGCCGTCCAGCGAGGCTGATGAACTTGTGGAGCTTGAACGGGAGGAGCTAGAAGAAGAGGTTGAAGATGCCGCAGAACGAGTGGAAGGATAGGTACCCTCAGGCCCGTCAGAGAAATCAGAGCGTGCAGGTGAGGTAGAGCGTGAGCGTGCCGGCGAGACTGGAAGGGCTTCCATGGGCACGGCCGCGGGCTGATTCCAGCCAGGCTGCATTGCTGCGGGGGCACCGGACAGCGGAGTAGAGGCTGAGGGCGAAGTTATGGATGAGGAAGACACTGGACCCCTCCCAGGGGGCGTGGTCGGGTGCTTCGCGATATGGAGGGCCGCCACACGGCCAGGGACGATCACGTCCATCCACATGTGGTCCTCGACGGGGCCCGCGAGGATGCCCCTCGGGACCAGGAATACCAGGCCACCAGCGCGAGTGCTGTTGGCGCAGCCCGAGTAGAAGAATGTGTACCTATACGGCAGGGCCGACAGCCATGTCCTGAGCTGCTCCGCGTCGCCGTGGGCCTCCTGGACCATGACCACTGCGCCTTTTTTCAAAAACTTCTGCAGTGCAGCCAACTTGCGCCTCCGCTTGCCGCGGGAGGAACATAGTAGGCTGTGCGCATTCCAAGTCACCACAGACAGCGGACTGCCTGGGGCCGCCCAGGGGGCCCAGCACCGGCTAGGACCACGGCACGTCGGAGCCCAGGTCCCGGAAGAGCTTCTGGAACTCCGCGCCGATGAAGTCGCAATCGATGCCGCGCCTTTGCGCCTCCGGCCGCTTCCACTCGATCTTGGAGGGCTCGTCGGGGACCTTCGGGACGATGATCCTGGCGATCGGCATGCGGTCGACTTTGGCCTCGCCCTTGCCACGGTTGGGCCAGAAGTCGAGCTGGGTGTACTGGCGTTCCAAGGTCTGGGCCAGTCGCTTGGTCTGGAACTCCATCCGCTGAGTGCGTGGAGAACGGTCAGGGTTAATATATAGGGGCCCTGCAGGTCCCGCCACGGTGGGAGCGCTGAACTGCCGCCAACGTCCGCCTGGGAACTTGAGGGCCTGGGCCAAGGCGAGAGCGCGGGCGTTGCCGACGACGCCGCCGTGCACCTCGACATGGAACCGTCGGCCAGGGCCGGCGCCATGGATGGTGACGTGCTCTGGCTGTAGTCCCGCGGCCTGCAGCCAGGTGCCGAGGGCACGCTGCACTGCATCTGGGGCTGTATCGTCCTTGGCATTGACCGTGAAGAAGTTTGGTTCGGGATCGCGGTCCCACACGGACAAGCGCACAAGGTCCGTGACGCCCGAGGCACGCTCCGCGATGCGAAGCGTTTCTCCGATTTCGCGGACCTTCCCGGCCAGGACCGCCTGCTGGGCCTCAGTCGCGTCGACCCGTGCGGAGCATTCGTGGACCTCGTCGCGGAGCTCGTCGACCTTGCCGTCCAGCTTGGCGGCGTGGTCGGCGACGAGGCCGGAGATCTTGCTGTGGAAGTCGGTCGTGACGGTCTGGCCGGCCGTCTCAAGCTGGGTTGCGGTGCTGCCCAAGATGTCTGCCAAGGCAGTGCGCATGTCCTCAGGACAGGAGGCCAGGAGCCTGTCGACGGACTCCTTGACCCGGTCGCTGAGGGAGGGCCCGGCCGGTTCGGGGGCTGCAGCATGGCGAGCGCCAGCAGCCGCAGCAACACGAGGGCCATCAGCGGCAGCCGCAGCCGGGGCCCCGGCTGCCGAGCCCGCGGCACCTGCGGGCTCGGGCGGACGGGTGCGAGGACTTTTGGGAGCCCCTTGCGCACCTGGGGTCCCGCTGGGTTCGTCCTCGGGCTTGCGTCGCTGGGCGCGCGACGGAGAGCGCCGGACAGGCCGAGCGGGCGGGGCCGGCGGCTGCGAAGGGGTGACTGAGGCTGGGGCAGGCGCCATGGCGGCAGCAGCCCACGGATCAGCAGGTCCTTGAAGCGGGTCAGAGCGAGCGGCAGCAGCGCCAGCAGCCGGGGGCATGCGCCGGCGGCCGGCTGCATGCACGGGGGCCGCGGGCGGCCGAGCACTTGAGCAAAAGGGTACGGATGCTCAAACCCCACGAGATCCCCGAGGAGGGACGTGGGGCTTGAGCCAAAATGGCTACGGGGGAGGAGGAGGAGGAGGAGGAGGAGGAGGAGGAGGAGGAGGAGGAGGAGGGAGGAGGAGGAGGAGGAGGGAGGAGGAGGAGGAGAGGAGGAGGAGGAGGAGGAGGAGGAGGAGGAGGAGGAGGAGGAGGATAGCCCCCCCCGCTTGCGTGCCCCTGTGGCCTCGAAAAAGTGCCACGCGCGCTAGGCCATGGGAGACCGATCCCCCTGCGCACCCCCTTATGTTGTCGAGGCAATGCCACGCCTGCTATGCCCTGGACGACCGTCGCGCATAGCGGCCGCGGTGACAGACCAACCCCATGCGCACCCCATATGGTGTCGAGAAAATGCCACGCTTGCTGTGCCTGGACGACCGTCGCGCATAGCGGCCGCGGTGACAGACCAACCCCATGCGCACCCCCTGTGGTGTCGAGAAAATGTCACGCCTGCTGTGCCTGGACGACCGTCGCGCATGGCGGCCGCGGTGACAGGCCACACCCTGCGCACCCCCTGTGGTGCCGAAAAAATGCCACGTCTGATGTGCTAGGACGACCGTCGCGCATAGCGGCCGCGGTGAGAGACCACCCCTTGTGCACCCTCTTTGGTGTCGAGAAAATGCCACGCTCGCCGTGCCTGGACGACCGTCGCGCGTAGCGGCCGCGGTGACAGACCACCCCCTAGGCACCCCATATGGTGTCGAAATGCCACGCCTGCTATGCGTGGACGACCGGCGCGCACAGCGGCCGCGGTGAGAGACCATCCCCCTGCGAACCCCCCATGGTGTCCGGAAAATGCCACGCCCACTGTGCCTGGACAAGCGTCGAGCATGGCGGCCGTGGTGACAGACCACCCCCTAGGCACCCCATATGGTGTCGAAATGCCACGCCTGCTATGCCCTGGACGACCGTCGCGCATAGCGGCCGCGGTGATAGACCACCCCCTGCGCACCCTCTATGGTGTCGAGAAAATGCTACGCCTGCTGTGCCTGGACGACCGTCGCGCATAGCGGCCGCGGTGACAAACCACACCCTGCGCACCCCCTGTGGTGCCGAGAAAATGCCACGTCTGCTGTGCTAGGACGACCGTCGCGCATAGCGGCCGCGGTGACAGACCACCCCCATGCGCACCCCCTGTGGTGTCGAGAACATGCCACGCTTGCTGTGCCTGGACGACCGTCGCGCACAGCGGCCGCGGTGAAAGACCACCCCCTGCGCACCCCCTGTGGTGTCGAGAAAATGCCACACCTGCTGTGCGTGCACGACCGGCGCGCATAGTGGCCGCCGTGGCAAACCACACCCTGCGCACCCCCTGTGATGCCGAGAAAATGCCACGTCTGCTGTGCCAGGACGACCATCGCGCATAGCGGCCGCGGTGAAAGACCAACCTCCTGCGCACCCCTGTGGTATCAAGAAAATGCCACGCCTGCTGTGCTAGGACGACCGTCGCGCATAGCGGCCGCGGTGAGAGACCACCCCCACGCGCACACCACATGGTGTCGATCAAATGCCGCGCTTGCTGTGCCTGGACGACCGTCGCGCCTGGCGGCCGCGGTGACAGACCACTCCCTGCGCACCCCTGTGGTGTCGAGAAAATGCCACGCCTGCTGTGCCTGGACGACCGTCGCGCATAGCGGCCGCGGTGAAAGACCACCCCCTGCGCACCCCCTGTGGTGCCGAGAAAATGCCACGTCTGCTGTGCCAGGACGACAGTCGCGCATAGCGGCTGCGGTGACAGACCACCCCCATGCGCACCCCATCAGGTGTCGAGAAAATGCCACGTCTGCCACGTATAGCGCCCCCACCCCCAGCGCACCCCCTGTGGCGTCAAGGAAATGCCACGCCTGCCACGTGCCGTACATGTGTGCACTGGCGTTGCATGGTGTGTGTGTGCGTGTGTATGCGTGTGTGCGTGCGGCTGCATATAAACGCATGTCTCATGTACGCGCCGTACGTGTGGTGCGCGTGGATGAGGTGAGAGAGGAAGGGGGGGAGGTGAGACGTGAGGAGGGAAGAGGGAGGGAGATGAGGAAGACGCGGGTGCGACGCGGCAGAGAAGAAAACCATAGCCCATTACGCTACCGAGGAAGGGTGAGGAGGAGAGGCGGGTGTGTGAACGCGGATGCGACGCGGGTGGGAAGAAAACAAAAACCCCACTAAGCACGTGGGGAATCAACAAACAACAAGAAACCCAAAGCTGCCCTGGAATCAAAACCAGAAACGGACAAACAACGGCGGCGGGACCAGAACAACAACTGCGACGGAACCGCCAAATAAAACAGAAAAACGGAACCGGTAAAAGAACGGCTGTCGCATGAAGGCGGGGAGGTCCAGCGCCGACCGAAGAGAATCACAGTGGACTTCCGTGAGTTCGTTTGCTCATGCCGATGCCGCTTTTGGGTTCTCGATGGAGGGCCGCCCCGCGAGCCCGGGGCGGCAGCTTCCTCGCGGCCTTCGTGGCCTCGCGCGGGAACTCCGAGCACGCGCGGCCGAACCACTCCGCGCAGGCGTCCAGCACCTCGGCGACAGAGCACCAACGGGTCGCACGCGAGAAGGCATAGCGACCTTACGCGGTGGCTTGCCCAGGCTGCCAGCGTGGCACACCGCGCGCACCTCGGCGACGAACACGGACGGGTCTTACGCGAGAAGGCACAGCGACCTTCCGCGTCGGATCGCGCCACACCGCGTGGACCTCAGCGACGAGCTCAATCGAGTCTTACGCGAGAGGCCATAGCGACCAGACGCGGTGGCCAGCGCGGCACGCCGTATCGCAAGCGAGGGCGATCGCGCGCGGCCTTGCGCGGGCAGCTCGCGCGCGCATGCCCGCGCAGTCGACAGCCCGCTGCCCTGCGCCGCCCGCCTGGCACAGCGGCGTGGGCACGAAGCCGTAGGCGGTCCGCATGCGCCCGCACTCCAGCGGAACCGGCCGCTCCACGCTCGGCAGGAACGTCTTTTACCAGCCTGGAAAATATCCCTATCCCTATGCTGGGCATCGCCTCATCACGATGCCAATCTTAGGGATTCCCTTCTTTTTTGAGGGCGCATCCCTAAGATTGTAATCGCTTTTTGGCGTGTCAATCTTGAGGATAGGGTTTAAGTTCGAGGCTGGTAAGTCTTGGGGCTCGGCACCTCGGCGAGCGGCGGCGGCCCCGCCAGGCCGGCGCTGCGCGCCAGGAGGCCGAGGAGCTCGGGCAGCGCGGGCTGCTGATCGCAGGCCAGGTTCAGCGCGTCGCAGCGCGGGCCGTCCGCTGGGAGCGCCGCCCCCACCTCGGGGGTTCACAAGTTGTTGTTTCTTTTTATTCTTATTTTTTTGTTGAACCTCGGGGGTTCAAAAGTGAGGCCTCGAGGGATTCGGGGCGCAGAAGGACATACCAGTACTGTGCGTCCTCCTCGGAGGCGTGCGTCCGACCCAAAAATGTTGCATAATGATCTCGTAGTTCACTGCTGCCCGAGCGGTTCGGCCAGAAAGCGCCCGCCACGACGCATATACTTTAAGGTTCCTCGATGCGCGCGTCGCCCCTAGGGGGGCAACGCACACATAGTATCAGTATGTTGGGGCGCGGCCGAAGATAGGATCCCGAGGATGGAAACGGAATCCCGAGCTGAACCTTCCCTGCTTGAGGCCGCTCGCCCTCCGGGCCCGATCCATCACGGCCCCGATTCTCTGAACTGCCGCCCCCACCAGCCCGGCGATGAAGCGGGCCACGTCGCGGCTGAACACGAAGGCCAGTGGCACGTCCCTCTTGCTCGAGGCCGCGTGGCTCTGCGGCGGGTCCTCCGGCCCGGCCTGCAGCCAGTGCCAGTAGGCCCACAGCCTGTGCGTGTCGTCGAAGGGCCCGATGACGTCGGGCAGGCGCAGGGCGAGGCCGCGGCAGCCTGGGCTCTGGCCCACGCCCGCGGCCAGGGCCTCCTCCGCCTGCAGCTTGCCGTCGCCGTACGAGTCCGCCCGGCGCAGCCGCCGGCGCGCCTCCTGGTCCGCTGGGCGCTCCGCCGCGGCCTCGGCCACCCCGGGCGTCGACCTTGGCCCCCAGCCCGAGGCGGCCCAGGCGCTCACCTCGTACACCGAGTCCGAGGACACGAAGACGTAGGTGTCAAACCGGCCCTTGAGGCCCGCCAGCGACGCCTGCATGTCCCGCGCGCTGTACGCCGAGAAGTCCGCCACCAGCGCCCACCGCCCCACTCCGAGCCGCTCGGTCACCTGGTCCAGGCGCGCCGCGAAGGCGCCCGCGTCGTCGCGGTCGGCCAGCGCCCGCGCGGCGCGGCCGCCGGAAGCGTCCTCGACGCCCCAGTAGGACCTGCCCCGGTTCACCGTGCAGACGCGGGCGGGGCATGCGAGGAGCGCCTCCACCTCGGCGGCTCGGAGGTGGGGCCCAGAGAGATGGGGCCCGGAGCACAGCAGAGGACCCCAGGTTGCATACGGTTATAATCCACGCTGTTGGAGGCCCCTCGTCCTCGAGGCCCCGTCCCTCAGGGCCCGCAGACGAATGCGGATGTTCTGCTGGGAGTTGTCCGACACGCGGCCCCAGAGGTTCCGACCCCTTCCCGCAGGGGTATAGCTTCCCAGACGTCCTCGCGTCGTGAAAAATCACGACGGGAGGTTTTTCGCTATTTTCTGCAGCTGGGGGCCCTTCCCGGCCCCCGGGGCCGTCAAAAAATGACTCACGACGAAAAAAAACGTCCGGGTCCAGACCTCTGGGTGTCGACTCTTTGAAAAAAGCACGACGTCGAGGAGATGGATTCCCCTCCTGGACCCGCGTTTCGTGGCCCTGGCGCTCGACGACGGGCCCCAGAGGCCGACATCAGAGACCAACGCCCAGACTGAGAAAAAACGCAATACAACAATAACAAAACAATAACAAAACAATACAACAACAACAACAACAACAACAACAACAATCATTTTACCCGAACGCGTGGTGTTCTCCCCAGTGCCAGGGTTTTCATACGACACCAGGCAATACCCCCACTTCGTGGGGGGGCATTACAAGCTCTACCAAATATCCAAACGACTCTTCGCGACCACCCAAACCCAGCTTCCCGCCCTATGACGTTGGGACACTTCACTTCGTGGCGTGCGGACGACCGTGGCTACTACACTGGCGTGGGGTACACACCCACAGAACTTGGTCACTTATTCGGGGCGCGCATGTGCCCAGCATGGTGCAATTGTGCCATACAATACATAATACAGAGAGACAGAGAGAGAGACAGAGAGCAGACAGAGAGAGAGACAGAGAGAGCGGAGTTGGTCACATTTTTGGGTCAAGTTCCTGGGATGATGGGAATACACAACTCTGTTACATTTGAAAAGTCGTGCAGGTGTTTTTCGAGGACCTACGGTGCGATTCGTGTGATTTTATGATGCGCGGTGCTAAAATTCTTAAGAACCCAATGGTTTTTGGAGATTTCGGCGTGCGCGCGCGAAGAAAAAACGAATGTGTCCCGCATGGTATTATTTGACAGGGATGATGGCCCTGGCAGGTGCGCAACCGTTGTCGCAGAAGTTCGAAAAAGTTGCTCGCAAAAGCCCGTTTGACAGAAATGTTT